GCAAGAGCCAAGATGGTGGCGTTTGGACGTCCCAACCATCACACAAGACAGCCTGTAGGTGATGGCGGGACGGCGCAGTGTTTGTGGCACTCGGAAGTAGGCACCCGCGGCACGGCCCCGCTGTCGGCTCTCGCGGGCTGCGGAACCGGACCCAGAAGGGGACGGTCCGGGCGAGTGTGGCAGCTCCTGCGCTAGTATGGGCACCCTCTATCATAGCACTACTGATCCTGGTCATTAGAGCTGCCAGGGATAGCGTCAGGAGCCGGTAGGAGTCAAAACCCCTCATATTTGAGACATCGTGGCCCATATACTCGTGCAACAACCCCCGCGCTCCACCTGCGGCCATGGCCAATGTGCAATGATCCTAGTATGGGGAGCTACCTGGGTACCGCGAGAGCGACCCAACTCGTCGACATCGTCCGATGATGGTGCCTCAAAGCCTCGTGGGGTCGAGCCGGCAGTAGCCGCGACATGTGGTTCCACCACCCCTCGTAGGCTTTGCCTCTGCTCGCCATCTCTTTGTACATACATACATGTTCCCGGGCATTCACACTATATTCCTCTGAGATAATATTATATTTCGCCGCCACCGCGGCGCTCGCGCTTTATCCGCGCGCTATATTAGTAGAGCCAAACTTGTGTTCTTGTTTTGGATCAAACTTGTTACAGCTCAGCGAACGCGATGCGGCCTCTGCCTAGCCTCCTGCTCCTATGCGCGAGCTACGGCGTGACCGCTATCGAGTATGACTTCTCTACCGGGAAGAACGGCCTCGACTACTGCATCGCCGAGGCCGACACCACCAGCGACATGACAGCGTCGACCACCATGGCACCTCCACCATGGACAAGCCTTGCACCATGTATGTCAGCCACCACCTGGGCGCCTGGCGTGTGCGAGCACAACCCCAATCGAGCCGAAGGATCTGAACAATGGGTCCAGTCGGTCTCGTCGAGCACGTTCGAGCCCGCCATTTGCATCGACAATTCATTTCTCAAAGATTTGTCGATAAATTGGCAACTTGGGTCAAAACACCTTGAGGACATGTGTGCCTCCACTCACACTACCTCTCAGGCGATGGAGCACGCGCTACAGTCAGCTCCTGAGGCCTCATCCACCCACTGCGGCCAATCTGAATTTTCGGCCCTCCGCAGCCCCGCGATACAGGTGCACTCATGGCCCAATACGATGGCGCTACAATTCATGAGGCACGGGACTCTTGCTGCGACAACCCAGCCCCATAGGAAGCCTGCGACACACATGCCGCCGCCACCTTTGCTGGATTACTCAATGCTGCCCATTCTTCTGGGTCAATGCGACGGGAACGGCTTCCTTTGCCTCCAAAATGTTTCACCGTGGAACGCTACATTTGACCCTACACCTTGGCAGAAAGTCCTTCCCCGGGACCACTCGGACACGCCGAGTGCAGGAGAGGCATTGCACCATGAGACCTTGAGCAGTGGGACAGAGGTAGTGCCCTTCAACAATGGGACATGTGGTATCATCTGGCCACTCCATGGAACCACCGATGCTGCGAAAGCCCTTTGCCTTGATCACTTTCGGCGACGCGGCAAGCGCGATTGGGTCAAATACGAGCTCCATTGGAACTATATGTTCTCAAACAAGAATTGCGCTCGGGTACAGTCCACATGGATGGGAATGATCTGGCCATTTTTTCTTTGCTTTGCTCTCGTTGGGTCCCTTTTCCTTGCGTACTCCCTGCTGACAAGTGCACTGACAATTGGCGACCTGTTTGCTTACCAGACCATGAGCAGCCTTATGATTGTCAAAGCGTGGTACGGATTGCGACACTATGGTGCAAATACCAAGCTACTGATCATCAACCTGGGTATTCAAATCAAGTGGGTCTTTGACTGGTATTTTTGCCTTGCGCCAGCTGCGCTTGCGATATGCGGCATCATCCTGCTCGTTGCTTGGGGCTTTGCAATCTACGATTTCGTGCGATCCCTCCTATACTTCGCCAGGTATGCATGCCTCGTCGCCTTTGAGGTCATCACCAGCACTACTGTCAAAACTGTTTGCTTCATTTGGACACCTATTACCACCACCATCTCCTTTGGGTGCCCGTATGCAATCGTTTGCGTCAGCATCTACCGCGACTTCCTTCGGAGGTTTCTCAACTTCGTCAGTCCAGTCGTGAGGGAGCACTATGCCGAGCTAACTCCTTTGTCCGATGTTTGTGAACCGATCGACACTGGCCGCCGAAAGCCGTTGCCCTCCTCGCTTTGCCCCCAATGCCTCCATGGACTTGTCGAGTGCTTCCATTGCACCTACCATGGCATGGCAGAAAATCCATGGGTGTGCGGGAACGCCCTTCGACCCAATGCCAACGAGAGGCCTATGCCGTGGAAATTCTGGACGTGTCGTAACCTCCATTTGGCGTTTTCTTTGTACGACGATGCTCTTGCCGCCATTTATGCTCGGCTTCTCCACCTTCACGTTTGGGCCACTCTCCGTTGCCTGCAGTATCGCAGTGGTGAATACATCGTCATTTACGTGTGCAATTTTGGTTTGATCATGACACGCAAGGCCCTATACTACTTTATTGGCTTTGCTACCATTTGGCAAATCGTGTACATGCTAACCAATAGCATCGCAGTTGCTGCCGACCCGCAGGAGACCACCCCTGCCTTTGATGGCCAGCGTGACTCTTTCGTTGGTTGGTATATGCTCTTTACCGGGTACGTCGCGTGGAAGGCTACCGACGCCTACACTATCGCCGATGGTTCCGAAACGAAGCCTGAACCGCCCGCAGGAGAAGAACCAGTCATATCTGCGCCAAATATCAGCAGGGAAGGGGCAGTCACCAATCAGGCAACCATCACCGCTGAGACTCGGGCTCGTGACGCTTGGCGCAAACGAACCAAGAAAGTTGAGAATTGGGAAGAACGCAACCGCAAGCTATATGGGCTACTAATCACCGCCATGCCAACGTGGCTGCGTACTTCCCTTTTCAACTCTCACTCTGGTGACGGAAGGGCTGCGATCGTTTACCTACAATCCACATTTGATGCTGGAAAAGGGAAGGGCAATGATCATGCTTACCACCTCGAGCGGCTCACTCGGTCAGTCATCGAGCCCCGTCGGGAGATTGACGAGAAGGATTTACAGAGTCAATATGATTGGATTATGACTTGCAAAGCCGCCATCGAGCGCACTGAGGAAGATGTGCCCGGAGAAGCTACCTTGATTGCTTTCTTCGACAACGCTCTTCCACATTCGTACAGCTCCATTCGGCAACTTGTGCGCCGTCAGAAACATGATACGCTGCTCAAGCATTATACCGATTACCAGGATATGGTCCGCGGGGAGCTTGCCTCTCGTCGCCCTACGCCGTCCGCCTATAACGCCAATCAGGGCAATACCAATCAGGGCAATGCCAACCACGGTGGGACTCGAGGGCGAGGGCGCCAGCTTTGCGTCCGTTGTGGCCTTGTCGATTGCCCTGGCCGCAGGCAGTGTGCCAAGCCTCCGACTCAGTGTCCGCTCTGTGGTGGCGATCATCTTGGTGCTTTCTGCCCCAAGGCTGTCGGCCGCCACCGCCGCGGTGAACTTACCAGTGGCGCCCTCAAGATGCTAATGAAGGAGATGACTGAAAGCCTTGCTCGGCGCGGGCAACCCACTGCCGCCGCCGCTTCTACCGCGCCAGCCGCCGCCCCTGCCGCGCCACCTGCTGCCGCACCCGCCGCCGCCGCTTCTGCCCCTACCTACGCCGCCGCCGCTGGTGCTAATTCCTCCGCGTCGCACGCTAACTTGCCACCTTCTACCGCGCCC